GGTTATGCTGGGCGCTGACAATGACTTAGAAAGTTTCTGTGTTTTCCATGCTCTGGAACAATCTGCAGATTACAAGAATAGCTTTGTGCCATTCATGGGGTAGATTTTATTTCATCAATTTCATCGATAATCATTGACCTACTCAACTTTTATATATTTTGAACCAATTGTGCTTCTTTATATTTTTTAAATGATCTATTTCATCAAAAATAAAAAATTTATTGCTATAAAACTGCACATAGTTTTCTCTCATAATTAAATATATATCTATACTAATAATCATTGGCCTTTTATAATTCTAAATGTTTATTTGTCTTTTTTTCCTTTGATGAGACTTGGTAGAGGGTTTTTTTTTTATTGGTCCTTTCAAGGAATAAGCTTTTTATTTGTAGATATCAATACTTTTTCCTTTGTCCCATTTTCCTAATTTCTACTTTTAGTGATAATTTCTTATTTCTTTGGTTGTATTTATTTTTCCTGTTCTAGATTCTTAATTTAAATGCTTACTTAAATTTCAGTCTTTCTTGTTTTCAAAAATGCATTTGAAGAGGTATTTTTCCTCTGAGTATCACTGTGGCCTCACACCAGAGGTTTTGTTACTGTTTATTGGTGGGCATTTCTAACTGGCTTTTCCCTTTAACTGGGGAGTTCGAGAGTGGTATAGCTTTCAAAATTTTCAAGTGGGAAGATTCCTCTATACTCATGTTTCTGTTCATTTCTGATCTTACTGCATTATAGGCAAAAGGTGGCTTATATGATTTCTGCTTTCTGGAATTTGTTGACATTTTTTATTTATAGCCTAACATATGGCCAATTTTGTGATGATTTCATGTGTATTTAAAAATGCTTATTTCCTGTTTGAGTGTGAAGTTCTCTCTGTGTCTTGTCCAATTGTCTGTCTATCTCAAAGGGAAGTCCATTCAATTCTCTCACAGTGATTATGGAATTTGTCAATTCCTGTTTTTAAGAATCGTATATATAAATAAGTATGTGTGTCTATGTGTGTATATATATATAACACACATGCACACACACATATACTTATTTATATTTTAGGCAACATTCTTAGATGCTCAGATCTGTGATTTTGGCACTTCATGATTTTCCCATTATAAATACCCTGGTTTGTCCTGTTTATTGCTTTGGCTCTGAATTCTGTTTGTGGATGCATGTGGCTGGCATATTCTTTCATTTTTTTATCTTTCTGTGTCACTATATTTTATATATATCTTTAGTAGTAGATAATGGATTTTGTATTAATTATCTGCCTTTTTGAATTATAATTGGCATATAACATTATATTAGTTCAGGCATAAAATGTAATGAGTTGATATTTGTATATATTGCAAAATGATCACCACAGTGAATCTAATTGACATCTGTCATGATACATACTACAAAAAAAATTTTCTTGTGATGAGAACTTATAAGATCTACTCTCTTAGCAACTTTTAAAGGTACAATACAGTATTTTTTTACTGTAGTCACCATGCTATAAATTATAGCCATGGTTTATTGATTTTATAACTAGAAATTTGTGTCTCTAAACCACCTGCATCCATTTTGCACACCCCTCTCCCCCTACCTCTCCCCCCTGCCTCTGTCCACCACCAGTTTATTCCATGTACCTGTGAGCTCCTGACCTCAGTCTTGGAGATGATTTTGGACTTGACACCAAAAGCAAAGGCAACAAAAGCCAAAATAAACACATGGGACCTCATCAAACAAAAAGCTTCTGCATAGCAGTGGAAACCAACAACAAAATGAGACAGTAATGGGAGAAAGTATTTGCAAATGTATAAAGGACTCATACAACTCAATAGCAAAAAAAAAAAAAAAGGAGTCCAGTTATAAAATGGGCAGAGGAATCTGAATAGACATTTTCCAAAGAAGACACACAGAAGGCCAACAGGTACATGAGAAGGTGCTCAACATCACTAATTATCAGGGAATTAAAATTAAAACCACAATGAGATGTCACCTATCTGTTAGAATGGCTATTACCATAAAGACAAGAAATAAGAAGAAATGTTGGCAAGGATGTGGAGAAAGAGGGGAACTTTGTACACTGTTGGTGGGAACGTAAACTGGTACAACCACTATGGAAAGCAGTAGAGAGGTTACTTAAGAAACTAAAAATAGAGATACCATATCCAGAAATTCTACCTCTGGGTATGTACCCGAAGAAAATGAAAACACTAATTCAAAAAGATACATGCCACATTCATTGCAGCAGTATTTATGATAGTCAAGATATGGAAACAGCCTAAGTGTCTATTCCATATATATACATAATGGAATATTATTCAGCCATAAAAAGAATGAAATCTTGTCATTGGCAACTACATAGTTGTATCTTGAGGGCATATTCTAAGTGAAATAAATCAGATAAAGACAAAAACCATATGATCTAACTTGTATGTGTAACCTAAAAAAATAAGAGCAAAACCCCCCCCAAAAAACCCTGAGCTCAGATACAAAATATCTTATTTTCACAGGTAAACTGAATGCATTTTCATTTATAGTCACTAGTTATAGTTAGATTTATTTCTGTCATCTTACTTCACATCTACTGTTTCAACTCCATATGTTTGGTTAGTTTATTATGGCCTTTGGTTGGATTGGTCCCAGTTACTTTGTTCTGTCTTTCTTTCTCATTATTTGGAAGTTCTGAATTTTACTTTTGTCCTAGTAGTTATTCTGTACATGCACACATACACATGTATAGACATACACACACACATATGCACACACAAGTGTGTGTGTGTGTGTGTGTACTTACATTTTTCTGTCATCGTTGGGATGTTATCCCACATGAAGCAAGAACTTCAGTGGTGATTTACTTTTCCTCAGCCCCCATCTTCGCTGATGGATCATCATAGATTTTGTTTCTACACTCATTCATTTTCTTCAAATTTTGTAACGATATTTAAACTTTATGCTTACATTTTGTGTTTGCTTATCATTATTTACAATACTCATCTTTCTTTTTTATAGATGCATTTTTCACTTTGCTGGAGTGTATCCTCCAAGAATTCTTTTAGAAAGCATATGTAATATAATGTTTAAGACCTCTGATGTCTGAAATGACTATTTTTTCTTCCCAGATGGTCCATTTTGATTTTCAGCTCCCTATCGAGGCTTTTTTTTATTCTGAATAATTGTAGTTTTAAATATCCTAGGTCTCTAGATTTTGCTTTAGATAATATATACACTCAAAATCTATGAATATATTAATTACACTATTACCTGGATATCTTCTGCTGTTTAATACAGGTCTTCCCATCCCCCCTTCAGCCAAATCCATGCCATTTCCTGTTTGGTTGATGGCAGTTCTGAGTGGGGTTTACTTAGGAAAAAAGGCTTCACTCCCTCCAGGTAAACGTGTTCCTCCTGCCCCTCCCTGGGAAGCATTGAGGAAACTGCCTCAGTCTCCCCTACTGGTCCTCAGCCATAGATATTGTTTTCTGAGCCCCTTCATTTTATATCCCGATCAGATAATTCCAGGGGGTCAGAACTGGAAGGACCTGAAGTTCAGGAGCCCGGCCCCTCGTTTATGATGTGAAGAGAACAAGCCTGTCTGGGGAACTGAGCCTCTCACACCCTGTTTTCACCCAGCCTTCCCCATCACAGCATCTGACGGCACCATTTATGTGGCTCAGGCCCAAGCAGCCCTTGTCCTCAGTGATGTTCTCTCTCACCCCCTACCTCCCCACAGTCGCTCTGGAAAGCCCTGGCTCTGTCTTAGAAAATGACCTGAATCGGGTCACCTCTCACAACATCCACCCCCCACCCCTATCACCCCCTCTTGCCTGGTTACGCCCTAACCACCACCTAAGTCATGTCTCTGCTTCCACTCCTCATCTGCGCTTGCCCAGCATCCAGGGTGAGCTTTTCAGATGTCCTTCAGATCATGTGACTCTTCAGCCCAGGCTCTCCAGGGGCCTCTCTCTTGCTTGGAAAGACATAGGCCCTACCCTGGTGCAGTGGACCCCCAGACCTGCCCCCCAACTCCCCAGGCCATCAGGCCTGCCCTGGCATGCCTCCTCCCCATGTTCCCTCTGCCTGGAATGCTCTGCCCCGGGGCTGCAGGGCCCTCTCCCTGCCGCCATTTAGTTACTGCTCAAATACCAGCTGCTGCAAGACACTCTGCTTCCCTATCCAACATGACACCCACTTCTGCCAGGCACCTCCAACCAGCCATAGTGTTCTTTATCATAGGTAGTTGTCTCCACTGGAAATCTTATTATTTATTCATTTGTTTATCTGTCTCACTACTAGATCATAAGTAATTGTTATCTGTGACCAGCTGCTCCACCTCCTCCAGGAAGAGAGAGAGTTCGGTCTGGTCAGAGTAGAGTGAGTTGGGAGCAAGGATTTTGCTTCACTCACCCCATCTCCATAGTGCCTACAACACTGCCCGGCACACAGTAGGCTCTCAAATATTTCTTAAATGAATGAATACATGGATGATCAAAATTGGATAGACTTCACATTCATTTATTCATTCAGCTCCTGTTTGGGCATCGTTTGTGCCAGGCTCCCCCCCCCGCCCCGAGTAGACAGGTGACTCACACAACCAGGTCCCTGCCTTTGGATGCTGAGGGTCAGCATCTGTTAAACAGGTAGCAAGAACAGTGCCAAGAAGGGTCTGTATAGAGGCAGGGAGAGTCATGGGGGCTCAGACAGCAAAATGCTGTGGGTCAGAGTCAGCTGCCAAGGCAAGGGGAGTAGGGAGAAGGTGGGTTCGGGGGAAGGGGTCCCAGGCCCAGACATGGGGAGAGGGCCCCAGGCAGATATAATAGTCTCCCAGTGGGCACCCTTGCAGGGCATCCTTGTGCCATGGATGGCTCCGAGGGCCAATGAACTAAGGTTCATTAACTCAGAGCAGCCCTGACGATCCCCATGTTAGGAAACAGAGCAGCGGCGTGGGGGTCTGCAGGCCACCGGAGACTCCAGGGTGGCTGGTGACAGCCCTGACTGGCCCCCTCCCACCCCAGTGCTGGACACGGCTGGGCAGGAGGAGTTCAGTGCCATGCGGGAGCAGTACATGCGCACAGGGGACGGCTTCCTCATCGTCTACTCCGTCACGGACAAGGCCAGCTTCGAGCACGTGGACCGCTTCCACCAGCTCATCCTGCGCGTCAAGGACAGGTGAGCACAGCTGGGCCAGGCTCCCCGGCTCCTGGCTCTGAGCAGGCTCTGTCTGTCTGTCTCTGTCTCTCACTCACGTTCTCAGGTGAAAACTGAGGCATGGAGGGGCAGGCTGAATTCAGACCTTGGTCCCTCCAACTCCTGCGCTGGTTCTTTCTGCAGGATCCAGCGGCTTCCAGGGCTTCCAGGGTCAGCCCCTCCCATCCCCCCAAACGGTCCCACCAGTGAATTCAGGGGTCATAAGAAACATGTCTATTTTTCAGCTCCAATTTAACCAATTTTTAGTACAAAGAAAAAATGAGGTTTTTTCCCTCCAATATACATTGTAATTGATTAAATCGCATTTGAATGTAAGCCTGACTATTTTTTTCAGTTAATTGTATCTTAAGGAGGCAATGTAAAGAAAGTAAAAAAAGCAAACTTTGAGAAAATCTCAGTAAATTTCAAAAATTCAGTTAACACCTACTTCAAAGGCAGAGTGTTAATGACTTTACGAGGTAAAGGAACACACAGTTCTCTCTCCTTCATACATGTGCGCACACACACTCTCACACTCACACAAAACTCTAGAAGAGAAATGTGGGTTCAGCCCCTGACTGTGGGAATCTCAAAAAAGAAAATACAAATGAATGAGATGTACATAACTGTTTATCCTTCTAGCTAACCAAAGAAGTGCAAGGGAAAATAATAAAGTACATTTTCACTTGTCCAATTATAATTTTCCTAATAATAACAGCCAGTGCTGACACAGCTGCTGCCGGACTGGCATTTTATTCAGTTCGGACAGCAATTCGGCCACACATGTCAGGGGGCATCTTCAGGGTAGACATGTCCCTTGATCCCGCCCTTGCTTTCCTGAGAGTCGTCCTGATTGCAGCTGCCATTCACTGAGCGCCAGCGGTGTGACACACCCTGGCCCTGGCGCTCTTCACGAGTCAGTACTGATGGCCACAGCGGTCCTGCCCAGTGGGCGCATCAGGGTGATGGAGAGGTGGAAGGGAGCAGGTCTGGGAGCCCAGCCCCTGGCCAGCAGCCCCTCAGTGCCCTCGGTGACCGTTCTGAGCCAAGGGGTCCCCTGGGGGCCTCTCACTCATCTTGCAACAGTCCTAAACAGTCCTGGTATGGTTGCACCGGCCTCGCTAGGGGTGGGGACAAAAAAAAACTCACGAGCTGCCGATCCTTTGTTTCCCAGGGAGTCATTCCCCATGATCCTTGTGGCCAACAAGGTCGACTTGATGCATTTGAGGAAAATCACCAGGGAGCAAGGAAAGGAAATGGCGACCAAACACAATGTAAGTTTTGTGCATGCGCGCGTGTGTGTGTGTGTATTGGGGGGTGCCAGGGGATGTATGGAAGTCAACGCCTCATCACTCCTGCAGTCCTGTCTACGTGAATGGAACTCGAGCCTCGTACGTGGTGGGCTAGGTTCCATGGGAAGGCTTTGCGGGCACATGCGATGTGGGATATTTTGTGAAATAAAACCACAGGCCAGAGAGAGAGCACCCTCTTGTCAGTGGTTAGAGGCTCTAACGTGTGGAGCAGGTGCCTGCACAGTGGACTGCAAACTGTGGCGTACAAGCCCCCTCCTGGCCCCCAACGCAGCAGGCTGATCTCTGGGCTGTGCGGAGGATCGGCTTTGTCCTGTCTCTGAGCTAGCTGCCTGGTTATGCTCAGAATTCTCGGATCAGCTGTCATTCACTAAGCCCTGCTCTGTGCCGGGTGTTGTGCTGGGGGGTACTCCTCAGAACCACACGCTGAAGTAGATTCATTTATTTCCACCTTACAAGTATTCAACCTGAGGTTTTCTCAGGCTACATGGTGTCAGGAGACACGTTGGTTCTGTTTTTAGTTCACGGTGATGCCCCTTTGCCATCTGGATGGTGCTGGGTGGGGTCACTGGACTTCCCACCTCTGCCCACATTGGCACAACCTGTGCCCCAGGCCTCAGTGGTCAGTTATGTGGAAGTCTGCCGTGCCTGCCAGGAAGGCTGCCAGGTGGCCCCTGCTCTCTGCCCAGTGGGCCAGCTCTGTGAGTAGAGGAAGGGGCCTCACTGAGAGGTCGTCCCACTCGTCTCTGCCTTCTGCGTTCATTCACATGTTCATTCGACACTCCTAGGCCCTGGGAAACACAACGCCTTTCCTTCTAGTGGCAGGAACAGACAATAAACCAAGCAGTTACCGTGTGTCAGAGGTGACACGTGCTGTGAGAAAAGAGTAAATCAGAGGAGAGGGCTGGGACTGTGGGGTGGGGGTGGGGGGTGCTTCCCCTAACAGGGTGGCCAGGGAGGGCCTTGCTGGGAAGGCTGTGTGTCAGTGAGGAAATAAGCCCTAGGGTGTCAGGGGAAAGAATGTTGCAGCAGAGGGTAGTACTCAGTGCAGAGGCCCTGAGGCGAGAGTGTGGGGAACAGCGAGGAGGCCTGTGTAGCTGGAGCAGGAATGGGAGGGGTGAGCAGCAGGCATGCAGTCAGGGAGGTGGTTTGAGGCTTATGGACTTTCACTCGGAGTGAGGGGGATTCCTGTGGAGGGTCTTGGTGAAGAGCAATGTGGTCTGATGCATGGCTGAAGAGCTTCACTCTGGTGGCCACGTGGAGAGTGGTCTGTGGGGACATGGGTGGAAGCAGGGGCACCAGTTAGGGGCTGCCATAACCCGGGTGCAAGCTGACATGGGCCCACGTGGCGCTCATGAAGGTGGCGAGAAATGGTCGCATTCTGGATGCAATTCTGAGAGAGCCAACAGAATTTGTTCACAGATTGGCTGGGGGTGAGGAGGAGCAGAGGAATCGAGGATGACTCCACGATGTGGGGCATGAGTCACTTTCAGAAAACAGAAGTTGCAGTAACTGGGCCTCGGGAGACGAGGAGCTGGGTTTTAGATCTCATTAGTGTGAGTAGCCAGGTAATAATCCAGCGGAGATGCAAAGACAGCTGTCAGATATACTGGCCTGGAGGTAAACCTGGGCAGTCAGCAGCACGGAGATAAGTCAGCACCCACCGGAGTGGCCGCACATAGTGCGGGGCCTGGGACTGGGGCTGGGACACTCAGTGTTGTGACGTGGGGGGCTGAGGAGGATCCTAGTGGCAGGAGGGACTGAGCGCTCGGTGGTGTTCGAGGACCAGAATGCCACGTCATGGAGCCAGGCACAGTCCCTGCCTCAAGATGAGGGACGACCAGCCAGGAAGGGTGCTGCTCAGAAGTTTCTAGACGAGGCTTAGGAACTGACCACTGATTTAGCATTAGACCCAGGCCCCCTCCACTGGCCCAACATCCTGGACAGAGAGCGGCCTACGGAGCCATTCCCACTCACAGTCTTGAGCTTCATACAGTGACCTGAAGAGGGTTTGCTGAGGCCTTTCACAAACCCCTTCGGTGTTCCTCCCAGCAGCCCTGGGCGGGGGGTGGGACCAGGGCACTGCAAATCAAAGTGAAGGAGACCCAGGAGGTCAGGTGGCTTCCAGGAACCTCATGCTGCTGAGTAGTACCCCACCCCCACCCCGAACCCCGGTCTCTGTCTCTCAGCCGATGCTTCTAAAAAAATGCTGCTGCCTCATTTATCATTTGGCCAAATACTCTGCAAGCTATTGTCGACAACATGCTAATCTTAGAGTTCATAAAACCCGTTTCTCTTCAGCTGACCAAAGCAGATGGCCCCACCCAGTGCAGGAAGGTGGCACTTCCTGGTCCTTTAGTGGAGTCAGATGGTACTCCTGTTCACTGCAGGGCCTCCCTTGGTTTAGGTCCTGTTGCCACCAAAATCCTGGAATTCTAGGAGCCAACTAATACACATCAGTGTTTCTTCAGTGGTAGAGGCAGGGCCCCCAGAAAGGCGGTGGAGGGTGTCTGGGGTCCTGGGGATACTACAGCTTGCATACTTCTGAGTGATGCCATGGGGCAGACAGCTGTGATGTGAGGCTCTGGAGCCTGGGACTTACTGAGCTGGCAGAACTATATAGGACATGCAAGGGCTCCAGGCAGGGCCCAGCCCCAGCTGCAGGTGCCGTTCCGTTTCCCCTCTGAGTGTGCACAGGGAAGCACGTTGTCCTGGCCTCACGAGGTCACTTAGGACTCTGGTACCAGGTGTACTGGGACACCTACCACACCTGGAAGAAGCTCAAAAGGTGACCTCAGTATCCCCACCTGGGAAGGCCAGGTGGGAAGTGGAACATGAACCTGGTTCAAACCTTGAATCTCCGCATTGTGGCCTTGGGCAGTCAGTCATGTCGCCACTTTAAGCTCAGTTTTCCCAACTGCAAAATGGAGACGCTTACTCACCTCTAATGGTTAAGATAAGGGTTAAGGGAGGTCAGGGATATTGAGACCTACCTGGGAGGCCAAACAGCCCACAGTCATCTCAAAGAACATCCTTAAGTCTGGCTGCCTGTGGGGGAGGCCAGTTTCCTTTCAGGCTTATCAAGTGGCTCAAGTATTAGTCAGATGAGTGTTTCAAGGCCAGCCGAGCCCTGCCCTTTGTGCTCTGACCTTTGTGTCTGAGCAGCTACCATGGGACCCTCCTCCTGCTGATGCCGCAGCCCTGGGTGAGCATCTGGCCTCTCCCCGGGATACCTGATGGAAAGAACCAGTAGGACGTGTTCTCAAATACTCCTCTAAAATATCAACTTACCTCCCCCACCCTGTATTTCAAGTGCGGATCATTTTTATTCTGTTTACTGTGCTTTTCTTTTTCAAATATGTTATTATGAAATGCCTTAATTTTGTAATGAGGAAAAAATTAGGAAAAGTCCCAAAGCCCTTCAGTCCAGTCACAGTTGGCTCACTTCCATCTCGTGTAGAGAGTCCCGTGCGTGCTGGGTGATCCCCGAGTGCTCTCCTCTCACAGGGCAGTGGGAGTGAGCCCTTCCTGACTTTGTGGGGTCCCTGTTATGGGTGAGGATGAGTGCTCAGGACTGTGTCCTGACCTCACAGGGCCTTTGTTCTCATCCCTCTGCCAGGCTTGGTGTGGACACGGCCCTCATGACCCGTTCTGCAGGGTCACACTGGCCGTACCTCCCAACGTGCAGCTGCCTTTCAGCCCAGTGCTGATTACTGTGCATCAGATGTGCAGACACAAGCCTTTAGTAAACGAGGCTGAGCTTGGAGCTCCGGGCTGCAGACAAGCCGGGTCGGGCAGTCTGGTCGAGGTGGGAGGAGCGGACCGGCCAGGGGTCACCGGGGTTCAGCATCCTGGCTGTGGCACAGCCTCTCCTCAGCCGTTCCCCCCGAGTCTCCTTCGGAGGCCTGGGAAGGGGGACAGAAGTCCCCCCAAGGTGGAAAAATAGACCTCAGAAGAAAAATGAGTGGAATCAGAATGTATTTTAGTTTGACAAATGAAAGTCTTTAGTCTTCAAGTATATGAAAAGATCATTTTAATTCTATTTTTAGGGAGCTATTAAATATCTCTGGTGAGAGAACAAGAGGGACTTGAAAACACTGTCAGTAAAACTTTCCAGCCTCGGTGAGAAGCCACCCAAGGGCCTCGGGGCCACTGGAGCCAGGGTTCTGTGGGGCCTTTAAACGCATGTGGTTCCTCAGGATGTCTGAGAACTCGAGTTTTTAGGGAACGAGACTTTGTGGATCTCAGTGCCGCTTTTACCAAAAGTAAGCTTTGCCTTTCAGATTTCGTACATAGAAACCAGTGCCAAGGACCCACCACTCAACGTGGACAAAGCCTTCCATGACCTGGTCAGAGTGATCAGGTGAGACCACACACCTCCCTGGAAATGGGCCCTCTGTCTGCAGCAGGAGGGGCACCAGGAGGGCTGGAGTAACAAGGTTCCTAGGTCCAAGGCTGAGGCTGGGCATTTGGGGGCCTATTTTTAGATTTCTTGTCCCTCCATTTATTTCTTCATCCCTCCCCTCGTCCCACCTACCTCTGCCCACCCCACTGCCTGCGGGGGAAGCCCATCGCCAGCCACATGGAAGTGCCTTCTGCCGGAGGCGACAGCTCAGCCTTCTCCCCGGCCCCCCCACCCCGGCTTCTGCAGGTCAGCTAGTGAGGCAGCCCCTCCATCCTGCCTTCATGTGCCCCCAGCCCCACAGCTGCCCTTTGACATTTCACCTGAACAAGCCACATTCCAACTGTCCGGCCTAGGTCGCAGAGGGCTTGAGTGTGTGTCCCTTTCCAGACCCCACACACGGTCCATCTTCAAGTGTCACAGTCCCAGTCAGCAGTCTCTCATACAGTCCTCTGCACAGTCAGGGTTCAAACCTCGATCACCTCATGCTCAGGTGACTGAAACAGGCTCCCGGCTGCTGTCCCCATCGCCCACCTTTCCCATTTCCAAAATCCTCACGTACAGAGCAGCCTAACCAGTGGTCCTCAGGCACCATGCCTTCAGCGTGTTGCCTTCGGCTGGTTGTTGTGAAACGCCATGCAGGGCTCTAACAGTGTCCTTCCCGTCCTGCCACCCGCAGCCCCGGGCGCATCAAACAAGCGCAGACACATGCGCTCCACAGCCTCCCAGCGTGGAGTGAGACGTTGCAGCCTTCGTCTTATGCACTCTTGAAGTTATTTTTCTCCTGGGCATTTTGCCTCCATTTAGGATGTGCTATCACTAGGAGGTGGTAAAGTCTTGGTTACAGACTTCTAGTTCCAAGACATGGGAAAAATTAACAGAAAATATGTATAAAGCTTTTGTACTCGGTTGACCTGCCATTTTATTTAAAACACGAACATGGAAATGCAGGTCCACACTATGTAGCACATGACGTAGAACATGATTTAGATCAGCGTGGCCACAGAACGATGGCGGGACTTTGCACCAGGAGGATGACAGGCTTTGCCCTCTCCCCCTCCCCACTCCCTTTGCCTCAGAGACACTGTCCAGGCTTTGCCCTCCTCCAGCACCTAGGACAGTGAGACAGCTCCCTCCATCCTGCCCTCATGAGCCCCCAGCCCCGCAGACCCAAGGCCAAGGGAAGAAAGGGACAGAGAGAAGCAAAGCCCATTCTGACTTTGATTTTCTGCCCTTCACTGTCTCAAAAGGCAACAGATTCCAGAAAAAAGCCAGAAGAAGAAGAAGAAGACCAAATGGCGGGGAGACCGGGCCACTGGCACCCACAAACTTCAGTGTGTGATATTGTGATGGGCCTGAGGCCCTGGGCACAGTGACCATGCACTGGCCAGGCCTCGGGCCCCCTCTACTGCCTAACCTCACTGAAAACCATTTCTAACCATGACCCTTGATCCAAGGACTTGGCACAGGAAGGGAGAGAGGGAGGGTGGGCGGGGAGGAGATTGGGTTTGGCTTCACCAAAAGGGCACAGGCCTTCCTGTGTCTCACAAGACACAGGGAAGCACCACCACACAGAAGCAGCACCCGAGCCCCTCATGCTGATTCAGCCCGATCCCTCCCACCTCTCGGTGGCTGTGCTCTGTTTTTGGACTACGTAGTGCTGGTTTGAGGTGGAAGCATTTATCCACCACGTACAGGGTGCAAAACAAGCCATGACCCGACTCCCCCCTTGTCTCCAGTCCACGGTGTCTGAGATTGGGTGTCTTTTGTAGAATTTTAAATTATTTTAGTGATTATTATTGTATCAAGGGGGTCTGTGTCCACTGACTGGTGAAGTTTCAAGTCTTCAGCAGATCTCTCTGACAACCTGTCTGGAATATTGTGGTTTTGTGTTTTGTTTTGTTTTGTTTTGTAACTGAGTTTTCCCAGCAGTGCCAAAACTCAGCTCAGTATGAAAGTTCAGTGACCGCAAGACTGGAAGTAAACGGAGGCTGCAGCTGGAGGCCTCGGGGGAAGCAGACCCTGCTCATGGCCTGTAAACTGGAGAGACTAGCCAGTCAGTTCCAAAGGGGCGTTGTTATCCTGGAAATGTATAAACTAAAGTGAGTGGATCTGCCTGTATGTTCCTTTCTTTTCCAGTCAGTGTGGGTTCACGTCTGTTCTTCCCAGCCGGTCACAGGGCTTCCTCTCCTCGCCAGTACTGCCTGGTACCTCTCCGACACCGACCCACTGACACGGGCCCACACGCTTCTCCACGTCAGAGTGAGCTGACATGGCGCCATTCAGGAAATTCTGGTTCATGCTGACTCTTACCCAAAAATGATCCGGTACTGTGCTTTCTGAAACAGCACCAACACCTGAAACCGTTTTCCCTCTGATCAACTGACCACCACTTCTTACACCCAGTAAATAACAGTCCCCTTTAATCCTTTGCAAACTGAGCATCAGGTTGCCTTTTTGGCTCCTGCTTTTATTATCCCCTCGGACCTTAACTGTAACATATGATTGGAGAAGAAAGGAAGGCTGAGGTGATGTTATCGCTCTCCTACACACGTTTCTACAAGGGGACAGTCACCCAGCTCCCTCATGATGTCCACCACCCACTCAGGTGCTGCTGCTGAGAGCCAAAGACTGGAATTGGGGGCTGGGGTGGCAGTGGAGGGGCAGCAGACCAGCAGGGCACCCCTGAGAGAAGGTCAGAAGATCAGGCAATGCAGCTAGTGAACCTGATTTCCTAAACATTACACGTCAGGTCACTAGGCAAACTAGAATATCCATAGCAGGTGGCCTGGCCGCTGTTTGGAGAAAGGACCCCAGGGAAAGTGAGTGCCCAGCTGGACATCAGGACTCCTGGGTCCTTCTCCAGTTTTGAAAGTGTGCTGAGTGCTAACTCGGCGACATCACCAGCACCGTGGGGCCAGCCTAAGAGCGATCCTGCTGCAGAATGAAACAGTTGAGACTTTTGCTGGAAATCAAACTTCTTTATTTGTGTAAATGGCCTCTTTTTCTGTTATCTTAAAAGAAAAGATAACAAAGAACATTCCAGATCAGGCACCTCACAGCTTCCCAAGATCCTATAATGTTCACTGAGGGACACTTTAAACATGAGCAGGACAAGGCTCTTTCCAACCCCGATGCTCCTCTGAGCCAGCAGCCCGTGTGCAGGTTGACGGTAGCTGCAAACTGGGGGTGAGGCGGAGGCGGGCAGGAGGGAGGGAGTCAGGATGGAGGTGCTTTGCACCCAGGCAGTGGTGAGTGGGACCAGAAGCCCCGCACACAGGGCAGTGTCCACTGGTGGAAAACATCTCCAGGGCACGGACCACCACCAGCACACCCTGCCCTCTGTGGAGCCCGCAATTCCCTGAACACTACACAGAGAGTCTTAGAGGCAGATCAGCTGACATAGAATGAAGCCTTTAGCCAGGAAGGTAACCAGGCAAATGGGGTTCCAACTACTTCTAGTCCACGACCCCAACCCCACCCAACAGGGGCAGTACACCTGCCCCTTCCCCAGCCCCACCTTACAGGACATCATCCTGCCCTCAGCCCACAGCCGAACTCCACAGTGCCCTAGAGAAAAACTGGTGAAGGGGTGGCCTTCTGCAGCCTCTGCTGTTGAACCAATGGTCAGCCTTCATCTCCTATGACCTCATTTTCCTCGTAGGTGAGATGGGTGAATAATACTTGTAAAAGATAGTTCTTTGTGTTTTAGAGAATCATGGGCCCTTGTGGCAGTGAAGGCTCCAGATAGGCCAGAGTGGAGGGTGCCCTGGGGCATCCCCAGTATGGTTTCTCCATGGTCACCTAGCAGGGTCAGTCTGGGAAGCAGCTGGTCATGCTACTCCATGACTGAGGAGCCCAGTGGGACTCATGTCTTTCATGACATCCCAGTGTTCCCACTGTTTTTCCAAACTGCCTGAATGGTACGTCCCCTGGAGCACACCCTTCCTGAAACCCTCTCACCCCATGCCTTTGCATTGTGTGCTCTCAGATTTCCTTCTAAAATTCTGACACCCCCTCCCCCTTCAAGGGCTCCTTTTCTCCCCAGCAGATAATCCTAGCCATCCTCCCCACCCCCACGGCCTGGGGGTATGGCCACTGACTTCCTCTGCACTTTGCCACACAGGGGAAGTTTAGATGGTTTTTCTTAGGACTTTGCCTCCCACCTTCCTGTGGCGCTTGCTGTGGAGAGTGCCTGGTGGCCCAGTGTGGCCTGTCTCACTTTGCCAGATGTGACCCACTAACACCTGGCAGCTCTAACTCAGAGGCCCTTCATGTGTTATAGGAAATCCAGAGCCATAGAGAGGCTTCCTCCATTGGCAGCCCATTGGATTAGAAATTCCATGTCGGGTTTACCTGGAAGGAAAGATACTTGAATAATGGAGCGCCTGTGAGCGCCCAGCTTCTGTTACACAGTAGTAACAGGTGGCCATTGTCATGAAACGAGAGTGATGCCTGAAGATCTCGGTGATGCTTGAGCCTTTTATGTAACTTTTTATTAAGTCTTTGTGTATCTCAGCTCATTAATAAAGAAAAGAAGAGGAATGCCTGTCTGTCTTATTTCCTCTTATTCCAATATTCTTGAAGTTTTGCTGTGAACATTGTGAGTTGCCAGTGTCTGGCTCAGAACACCCATCTCTTACAGGAGAACCTGAAGTAAGGAGACCGCTGGGGGGCCACTCAAAGTGTCTCCTTCCTGCAAGAAGCCGGAGGAGGAAGGCAGGTGAGTGCAGCAGTGTGTGGAGACACGGCCTCCTGATGTTCGGCAGCCCTGGATTTGAGCTCTGACACCAGCCTTTCTGTGCCTTTGAGCAAGTTCCCCGCTTTGAAGTTCAGCAGCCCTGCCTGTGAGTGGGGCAGGAGTGTGCACCTCCTCAGAGGACTGGGGGCTGCAGCTAGGTGTGGGAGCTCATGGCAGGGAGCCTAAAAATGGTGCTCTTAGGTTTGCTTTTTTTAATGTAAATTTTTTTTAACTTACTGATTTTTAGAGAGGTGGGGAAGGGGAGAGAGAAATATTGATTTGCTGCTCCATTTATTAGGTTGGCTAAAAAGGCCGTTACTTTTTTTTTCACAAAATAAAACACCAATTTTTTTCATTTTCACCAATAACTTTATTGATTTGGATATTTTGAGTATGTTGGCTGTCTCCTGCTATTGGCTTCCAGTGGGTAGAGGCCAGGGGTGCTGCTAAACATCTTCCCATGCGTGAGACAGCCCCACAGCAAAGAATTATTTGGCCACAATGTCAATAGTACCAAGAAACTTCGCAAACCACTTTTGACACATTCAGTTAGTCACAGCACCTTCTCCATACACTGCATAGATCTTTTTTTGCATTTCAGTTGCATTTTTACCTTTCTTGAAATAAAGCACAATATGCCAAAAATGTTGCATATTTTCTTCCATCTTCAGTATTAAAATGGCTATACAAAAACTCACCAATTTTTTAAGTGCATGCTGATATGACAGCTATCACAATGCAGTCTAACAAAACTGTTTTGAATGAAGTTAAAGACAACTAAATGCTACTAGAGACATTGTATGGAAAAAACATAACGGACTTTTTGGCCAATCCAATATTTATGCATTCCTTGGTTGATTCTTGTGTGTGTCCTGACAAGGGACCAAACCTGCAACCTTAGCATATAGGGATGACACTCTATCGAACTGAGCTACCCAGGCAGGGCTGTAAAGGACACATACTGGGTTGCCTGATGTTGCTTTTCATGGAAACTGCCCCTGCCCCCATCCACAGGATTACAGTCTTTTGTACAGTGTGATTTCATTTTTTTATTGATTGCACCTGGTGAGTACTTGGCCAAGCCATCTCTCTCTTCTGTATCATCAGTTCTCTCTCTACTGGAACCTCCCCATCTTAAAATCAGAACAAAACCTTCCCTTGACCCACCTCCTCTGCCCGATACCACGCCTTGCTTCTCTGCTGTCTTTTGCAGGAAACTATCTTAAAAGAGGGACCTGTACTTACTGTTGTGAATTCCTCTCATTTGTTTCTCTTTACACGGCTCCAAAGAGGCTTTCACCCGTCATTCTACCACCACCCTTTTCAAGGTTTCCAGTGGCTTTCATCATGCTAACTCCAGTGGTTGATTCTTATTCTCATGTTTGACCTCTGACAGCATTGACACAAGTTCATTACTCCTTCTCCCTTGTTAAACTTTCTTCTGCTGCGTCTGCTTCCCTCATCTCCTTTGCTGGTTCCTCCTTTTCCACCTAACCCGTTAACTTTGGAGCATCCCAGAGCTCAATCCTTGGTGCTCTTCTCTGCCTGAACTCACTCTCTTGGTGATCTCATCCAACCTTGAGACTTAAAGGCCTCTTACATGCTGGTGACTCCCAAAGGCATTATGTCCAGCTTGAAACTCCCAAACCCCATACATATAACCAGCTGCCTGCTTGACAGCTCCCCTTGGACGTCTCAAGTAGAGTTTCTCCAAGTTAACATGCCCAAGGCTGAGTTCCCGAGCCTTGCCCTCCTGTGCTTGCTTCACCCATGTCTTTCCCCAGCTCAGTGCTTCTAGTCGCTCAGGCCAAAAGCCTCAGGGTCATCCTTGATTCCACGCTTTCTCTCACACCTCACATCCCACCTGTCAGCAGATCCTGCTGACTCTGCCTGCACAGTGTGTCAAGAACCCACCTATTCCTCATCTCCACTGCTAACACTCTAGCCCCAGCCACCAGCGTTCATGCCTGTTTCATTCTTGTCCCCCTGCACTCCCTTCTCAGCATGACAACCAGGGAAAGCTTGGTAAAATGGAAGTCAAATGATGTCTCTCCTGCAGTGGGCCCTCTATCTCATTTTTAAGACATGTCTCAGTGGGCTATGCCGCTAAACGCCTAGTAACAGGCTGGTGTTCATTACCCACAAAAGAAGGGAAATCAGATATGTTTATTCAGGCAACAAATACTTATCGAGCTCTGAGCCACACAGCAGGAGGACAACAGAGGGCATTAAAACCCAGTCACTGTGTCACAGGGGTTCACAGTGTGACAGGGATGATGAATCACCATGCTCTGTGCCCTGAGAGGAATTCCCCAACCTGGGGGAGCCACGAGGGAGGGTCTTCATAAACCTTGTAGGTGAGGGGGTTGTTTGCTGACCAGAGGAAAATTTCAGGTGCATACTGGGCCCACTAATTGCACTACTTTTGAAGATTATAGGTTTCACTTTCTAAGGTTCCTAGGTATATACCAGAACTACCTGTTTAAAATAAACTCCACCTCCACCTTCACAAGTTTCTGAAGATGCAGTGGATTGAAGTTCCCAGGTGTCACTGATGTCAGCATCACAGCATCTGTGTCTCCCAGGAGCTTGTTGGAAATTCAGACTCTTGGGCCCTGATCCAAACGTCTCAGTCAGAATCAGCATTTTAACAAGAACCCCAGGTGACTGAAGTGCACAGTGAGATTTGAGTATCACTGCCCTAGAACACCAACTCAGCACCAGAATGAAATCCAGCCCTGGATGCACTGTGCCTCAGGGGCCAGTTCAACCACATCCAACCAGGAGAAGCCTCGTGGGCATTCACCTCAGCAATTGGTTTGTTCCTCTGTCTGCAGCCACTGCCAGATTCTGCCCGGCCAGGCAGCGAGCTCAGAAGTACCCCTGCTGTCAGCACCTTAACTATGGGAAGTTTTTATACAAAGGCAAGTGGGTTTCCAGTTTGCTTCTCAAGCACTCCAGCATTTTTCCTAATATATGGACAACTGTGTTTAATGTAAAAAACAAGAGCACTGTAACAATCAGAGCTGCGAACACTCACAGGCCCTGCTCTTCAGGCACACAGGAGGTGAGCTACTCTGTGCAAACTGGAGATACTCATTCCCCAGGACTTTCACTTTCTGGGCTCCAGACGTGCCAAATTTGCTTATTATCATGCTGATGTGGAAAATCAAACAAACAAACAAAAAACAAGGCTGAGTTTACATGGACCCAAGAACTGATGGATGTTTTCAGTAGTATATATATCCTGGCAACACGGTGGTAAACCATCAACTCGGACTCAAACCCAGTTCCCTGGTCAGTCGTGGGACCTGTGCCTGAGCTGACCAGCAGAGGTAAAATAATTGGATGAGTGGTTCTTGAGGTTTGGACCCCAGACCAGCAGCTTCATGGTCACCTGAGAACTTATAAAAAATGCAAATTATCTGGCTGCATCTCAGACCCACTGAGCCAGCAGTTCAGAGTTGAAGAGAACCTAACAAGCCCTCCAAGAGACTCTGATACTCCCTCAGCTTTTGGAACCCAGGAATTAACACATGGAGGTCAAAATTAAAATTCCCGTTACCTGCAGGTAACTGGCAGCTTGTTTTGTTCTCACCTGCCAGGCAGCAGCTGGCTGTCTCGGCACAGTTGCCCAGCCCTGTCCTCTTCCTTCCTGCGTCTGGACTCAAGGGACCCCAGGACAGGGGAAATTAACCCTAGCTCTGTGGGGCGATAGGAGGGCTGGCTGACACCCCACCCCAGTCAGAATTGTGCAGAGTTATGTATACACATGCAGTCTTTTGGGGACACAATCACATTTTATCTGAGTCTCACAGTGCCCCGCACCGTGAGTGCCCAGCAGAAAAATGAACTGGCCTCCTGAGCCTCCTTTTCTGACTCCAGGCCCTTCCGGTAGTTTCACAGCTGCTGAGAGCAGGAAGAGGAAATGAAAGGAGCAAAGATCCATCTCCCCTTTTAAGAAGCTCTGACAAAACTCTTTATCTGGTTGACACATCCCTGCACTCACCCCCACAACACCCTGAGGGAGGGGGCCGGCCTCGCTTCTCCCAGTCCCCCAGAATGACTAAGTGTGTGACCCACGCATGACTCACTCTGCCTCCCCCTCCGTGGTCAGCACCACCTGCCACACAGGCCCCCCAACACCCTGGCCCAGAATTGGTAAAGAGGGGGAGGAAATGCGGATGCTGTGACAGCCCAGGGACTACTTGGGTGGGAGCCCAGCTGGGAAATGCAGGCAGAGGAGGGATGTGAGGCAGGTAGCAAAGCCATCTCAAGTCTGATGCCATCGTCTCAAATTTCCATCCACCTCTGCCAGTGGTTCTCGAACGACTGTGTATTAGATTTAGAGTCACTTCAGGAGGTGGGGGGAAATCTTGAAGCTCAGGCCACACCCCAGATAACCTGAAGCAAGTGGCCTGGGAGGGGGCCCAGGTATGAAGACTTGTTAAGGCTCCCAGGTGATTCGGCCATACAGCCAGGGCGGAGACCACAACAGCGTTCCATGGCATTCTGGTCCCTCGGACACAATGGCTTCTCAGTGATGACTGGTTAGTAGAAGAAACAACTGCCTGGAGGAGCCGTGTCCAAAGCTTCCCAGCTCTTTGTTAGTGGACACTTACCGTAGGCAGCTCCTCTTTTCATCACAGCCAGTCCTTTCAGAGCCTGGCTCAACCTTTGATCCATCTGGTCAGAATCTACCATGACACTGCATTCATCACATCCCTTCCATTTCTGTGGAAGGCCTGGTGGTACAAAATTAACATGATGTTTATTAAGTGAATTGATAATTATTACA